AGCCTTGGCTGAATCCAACTCTCACCGGGATCGAGCCTGACATACTGTCAGCAATACGGACCAAGCCCTGGCACCGGTCATACAGGGCCCTAATAGCCCATTTATTAGGGCCTGGTAACTAGGGCTGGGGGTAAACGATTATTTTTAAAAAGATTATTCTGACGATTATTTTATCGAATAGTCGACTATTCTAATGACTATTTAGAAAATTAATCTAATGATTATTTTTCTATTGCACAATTAACAAAAACCAGAAAATCTCAAATAAATTCCTCAAAAAAATGGATAAATGGTTACTGTAAGAGAATAAACACTACAGGCCTTCCATTTTGTATAACACTGCGTTTATTATGTTGGTTGGTTATGTTCTGGTGACGTGTAGAACTTGGGAGTGCAGGCTGCTGCCTGAGAGGTGGTAGAAGATGGAGTGTCTCCATGCTGCTTTGTTTTGGTCACTTATGTGCGTGAGGCGAGTGGTCTTACGGGTTAAACCAAACTCAGGTGATATTTTACACTAAACCGAAAACCCACAACACTCTAAATGTAATAAAAGGGAGATCTGCACCACAAAAAAGATGAACTCTAAACCAAAACGTAACAGCTTATCCCAACGCAAGAAGCTGTTAGCGAAGATGCTAACAGTAGCTTTACCAACGTTAAGTTCAAGTTACCAAGTTTAAATAAACCAAAAACACCCAGCAGCAAACAGACCAGCACGGAGGAGAGACTGCTACCACCAAAACAGCTCTCCTCATGTCTGAAAGAAGCTCCTTAATGAAGGGAGAAGCGCTCCCGGTGATGTCCTACATCTGCGGTAGACACGAAGCAGCACATCTGACCCCGGAAGTTGTTGTCCGTTGCCGGGAGACGAAGGCGGGCAAAACAGGAAAATAATCTAGTAGTGGACGGACGTTGTTCCGGGTCTTCGGTATTTGGCGGAGATGTTAGTGAAGGCGGAGAAGAGGGCGAACTAGAGGAAAAACAGGCAGATTCCTCCTCTATTTACAAACTCCTGGGGATGCAACAAGTGGGCGCGGTGCGTCGACTTCCGGATCTGACGTCGACAAATTTTTAGAATCGAGCCGTCGACTTCGTCGAGGCTTCGCTACAGCCCTACTGGTAACCCCATACTCTCAAAGTACCTCCCACAGGGCCCCTGAGGGACATGGCCGAATGCCTTCTCCAATTCCAAAAAACACATGTAGATTGGTAGGGCGAGTTCCCACGCACCCTCCAGGACCCACTTAAGGGCATACAGCTGGTCCTGCCCTCCACGGCCAGGACAAAAACTACAATGCTCCTACTGAATCAGAGTCTGACAATCTGACGGACCTTCCTCTCCAGAACCCCCAAACAGACCTTACCAGGGAGGCTCAAAAGTGTGATTCCCCCTGTAGTTGGAACACACCTTACTGTGCCCATTTTAAAATTTGGGGACCACCACCCCAGTCTGCCAATCCAGTGGAACTGCCTCGATGTCTATGCTATATTGCAGAGCCGCAACCAACACAGCCCCACAACCTCCAGAGCCTTAAGGAATTCCGAGCGGATCTCACCCACTCCCAGAGCCTTGCCACTAAGGTATTTTTTTTGACCACCTCCTTTTTTGACATTGGCTCCAGAAATTGGAGAGCCCTACCCAAAGTCCTAAAACTCTCAAAACATGCTTGTGGGATTGAGGAGGTCTTTGAAGTACTCCGCCCACCGATCCACAACTACCCAAATCAAGGTCAGTAGCACACCGTTCCCACTGTAAACAGTGTTGGTAGCACACTGCTTTCCCCTCCTGAGACACTGGATGGTGGACCAGAATTTCCTCGAAGCCGGAGTTAAGTGCTCGCCCCGTAATCAGAAGGTTGCAGGGTCGAGCCCCGCTCAGTTTGTCGCTGTAATTGTGTTCATGGGCAAGATGCTTAGACACGTTCCCAGCCGACTCTCACAACTCGTTTGGGTCTGCCACGTATGTCCAGATCCTCCCCCACCATCGAAGCCAACTCACCACCAGGTAGTGGTCAGTTGAAAGCTCCGCCCCTCTCTTCACTTGAGTGTCCACATGCGGGCGTGCGGCCGCACATCAGATGAGACAACAACAAAGTCGATTATCGTACAGTAGTCTATCCTGGTGTAAAAGTCCAAAACAAACTACCCCAAAATGGTAACAGCTTGTTGCGTGAATAAACCAGGGTGTGAGCCCAACTTGCTTTTATATCAAATAACTTTTATGTAGACAAAACGGGCATGAACAGCAGTGATCAATTAAACAGTCCTGCGGCCATCAAAGTATTTGTGGATTTGCAGTAAACACGTTTTACCGAACAAATCAAATCAAAACTAAGATTTTTTATGAAGTACTTTACAACAACAGCTTGTTGACAAAAGCGCTTACCACAGGTAAAAACACATCATGAGAGCACATTCAAATGGCAAGGAAGGAGCACGAAATAAAGAAGTCAAGCAAGTGGTAAAAGAAATGCACAAGAATAAATTCAAAGAAGCAAAAGTAGATGTCAAATGTAAAAATACAGGGACAGTGTCACACTTTGAAAGCCAAGGAACAGAAAAATGTTTTTAAAAGAGATTTAAACCTTTAACTTCCTCGCCAAGAAAAAAGCCATGAAAACATTCCACTTTGATGTGGGGCAATAAGGGCTTTAGTTTCATGTAAATTAATGACATTCAGAATATACCAACTGTAATATTAAGGTAAAAATAATGCTATGTAATAATGCCACACCTTTTCCTCAAACAACTCCATATTCTTTAAAATGTTCTTGTTTTATTATCTTCTTTTCTCGTTAAGTTCATGTAAAGCTTCCATGTGATGTAGGGACTTAAGGAATGCTTGAAAGCAGTCGGATCCGAAGCAGTTCTGGTTAGCTGATGTGTGTGAAAATTGTAACTTGTTTGGCACGTTCCCATGATAACATCTTCCCCCCAACCCGCCCCCACCTGACAGTGAGGGTAGCAGTTGAAACCAGTGACCCAGCCAGCAACACAACACTGGTAGACTTTGACTTTTTTAGGCTTTTAAATCAGTTCCAGTGTGAGGTCATCGCCGTTTATCACATGATGTTATACATTCCAGCATAAATTTTGGCGAAGTCGGCAACCTGATCAACTCTGAACAACAGCAGGAGAACGTAAGCTAACCTTCATAAGCTAGCTAAACTTTGTTAAATACCACTCTCTGTGAGCTCCACCCAGGCGTGCTTCTGGCGACTGAACAGGGTTTGAACTAGTAGAAGCCAGGCTCAACTGGCAGAAAGGTCTCAGTGACTACTTTTGCTGTCCGTTCAACACTCCCATGATGTCCACCATGGTGGACACACGTGGCCAGTATCGGGGCAGTTTTGCTAGTATGCGTACAAAGAAACACACATGGTGTTGGGCCGATACCTGATGCTGTTATCGACATCGGTGCCTCCACAGTAAACATTTCACTAATGTGCACCTTTACAGGGCAAACCTCGTTTAAAAAGGGAAGTCTGTTTTTAACTAAGTCTTTGAAGTGCCACTAGTCTTGTTCACTAATGCAGAAAATTGCACTCACTTGGATTTAGGAATGCCAATGGGACAAAGACCTATAGATCAAGTTGAAATGTGCAGTAAATAGAGGCCCAGAGGGGAAGAGAAAATCAAAAAGAGCCAGCAGATGAAGAGGGCTATGAAGGATTGTTCAGGACCATGTGGGCTGGGTTCCGGAACGCTTATAATGAGTCAGGACAGGAAGTTGGTGTCACCCGTGAAGAAAGCCTCCAAAGCTCCATGATATGACAGGGAGAAGATGTGGGACCTTGTACTCGAGTGACAGAGGTCCTATTGTGTAGCAGGGCAACAACAAGGACACAGTAGAGTTCTGTGGTGGGGGAGAAGTTAATAAAAAGCATTGAAACTGAGATCAGATTGGACAAGAATGTGGGAGCTTCTTGATTTCTGACTAAAATCCCTTCAGGCCCATGTTGCATGAAGGATGAGATCATGCTCCCACAGAAATACGTTTCTGTCGTAACACCCATCTAATCATACAAACTTGTTATTTTCAAATTAGTAATGAAAAATTACCATGAAGGCAAGCATCGTTTTTGTGTTCTTAACACAGAAAAGCAAAGTTTGCTGTTAACCTTTATAGTTTAGGCTCTCACTGGCGCCTTCCTCAGAGTGGTGGTGATGTCACCTCCCTACTGTTAAATCAGCAGGGGACGGTGTCACCCTCGACTGCCCGCGGCCTCTTTGTCGATGACCACGTCCCACATGTACACACTCTCCATCTCTGGCCGTGGTGTTAGGTCCACCTCTCGTGGTCTCGGTAGTTTTTTTTAACCCATCGTTTGAATTTTTATTGTTCTGTAGTTCTCTCTGTGTCTCTGTGTCTCTGTGTTCACGGTCCTCTTGTCTTCCCAGCCCATTATATGGTTTCACAGTCTCTTACTAAGAGACTGTGGATACCCAACATGGGCAACAAAAAAAGGACCAACAGTCTACGATAAGAAGTGGAAATGAATTCAAACCCAAAAAGAGGAAAGACAGCGAGCCAAAGCCAGCCGTAACCTAGCCATACCTAAAAGGAAAAACTTTTATGTAAATAAACATAATAAGAAAAGCTGTGAGAAAACACTACGTAAGCACACCAACAAAATAACACGTCTATGAAAAAAGACCCAAAAGATAGGATATTAACAGGTCAGACATGCGGAGTCATTTACTAAAAACTATGAAAGCTTCGCCAAAATAAACAGGACGTCAGGTCTACACTCGAACAGGAACACATGTGGGACATGGGTGCGGGCAGCAGAGGGCGACACGGTCTTCTGCTGCCCGCTGATGAAACTGCAAGGAAGTGACATCACCACCACCACAAGGCGCCAATGAGAGCCAAAACTGTCAGCAAAAAAAGGTAAACAACAAACTTTGCTGATCTGTGGATTATTAAGAAGACAAAAACAATGGATGTACAGCAACACAGAAAGAACGTAACATGAAGACAAGCAAGCCTTGCTCACTTTGGATAGATGGTGGTCATCTTGGCTGCGGCGTATCCTGGCTTACACGCCCCGCTGCTGAGGTTGCCATACTTGTACGCCAACTCTGGTGGCCTGCAAATGAACAGAGGAGAGACATTGTGATAAGTGATTATCAATGACACAGACACGGTCAAAGTGTCAAAAACCGGGCTTGTCAAACACCAAGTACCTCACTGCCGTCTAACCCTAACCCTGACCACATCATAACTCCGCCTCTTAGCTTGTTCACTTTTGGTCCACTCTGCTTCGGTCCTCTCATCTCCATTTTTTCTCCTGTTGAGAACACACAGCCTGGCGCCCTCTGCTGTTATGGGCGTGCAATAGTTAGACCCTGATTATAAGACGATTTTAAAATTATTTTCTATGAAAAAAAACCTGTCTTACATTCAGGTCTGTACGATAATATCTAGCAGCAAAAGAGCTGTTGACTGCTTAGTAAGTTGAAGAAGTTAGCAAAAATGTTGTGTGTGTGTGTGTGTGTGTGTGTGCGTGCGTGCGTGCGTGCGTGCGTGCGTGCGTGCGTGCGTGCGTGCGTGCGTGCGTGCGTGCGTGCGTGCGTGTGTGTATGTGTGGTTGGACCTCTTCAGTGACCGGTCATCTACAGATATAATTCCATTCTCTAAGTGGATTTTAAATCCTGTCTTCTACAAGCCAGAGAAGTCTGCGGTGCAGGAGGTCAAGATGGTCAGCCCGTGTTCCCAAACAGAGCTCTCTTCTGATAAGACTGCAGGATTTCACACTCTGGATAAAGAATGAACTTTTATAATAATTCACTGAAGGATGAAACGAAATACGTAAATAATCAGATGGTTGAATGAACAAAAATGGTTGAATAATAATATTGTTTTGATTAATCTGTGCCTAAATCAATGAAGTTGAAATGAATATTATTACTTATATGTTATGGTCAGTAATGTTTGGTATGACAAGGTAATCCTGATCTACACTCACACACACACACGTGCACATCTGCCTGACACAAGAATACAGTGACGTCATGACACACAATTTTTTTATCCACAAATCAGAGCATCTTCTATCTGAAGGAGGAGTGTTTCTGAGGTTTGTTTGGTAAAACCTCCTTAACATGGCATGTTGTGATGTGCATAGGAATTAATAAAACTTAGATCACTTCCCGAGTTGTTCAGTTCAGCTGAGCCGAGTTGAGTTTTTGAGCAGAACTTCGGAGTGGACAATCCGGAGTCCGTCTTTGACGCAACGACCTTCCTGCCTGTTGTGACCTGGAGACAACCCGGGACTGGACTGGCCGTACTGCTTTTTTTTCTATGAACTTCGGTGCCTTGGGGTCCACCAGACTTCCTGACATTCCGGATCACACCAGGGGTCTCCGATCAGGTTTGTAGACACGACAGATTGTGTCTGATGTAGTTTTATTAATAAATCAACTCTAGTTTATAGCAGGCAACAAATTCTTTTTCCCTCAGAACTCAGTTTGTTCCAGATACAAGTGTTCTGGTAAACATCACATTCCATCCACACATTTCATAGCTTGTCACGTATTATAATTAGTCTAGAAAATAAAGTTTATTATAGTTATATACTTGACTCTGTCTGAATTAATACGAAGTGTGTTTATGGTCCCTGAATAAGCAAAGAATCCTGAATTCTTCTGGTTTAACATTCAAAGATCAATCAGGTTGATATTCTATATTTATATAGAATCATCACATCTTATTGGTCATAATTACTGTGTGTGTGTGTGCGTGCGTGTGTGCGTGCGTGTGTGCGTGCGTGCTTATGCCCTAAACGAATTAGCAGCTCTGCCTCTGCGGGCCCACAGCTAGGAGGGAACGGGATTAGGTTGGAATTAAATCTTGGAGGTATTTTATAATCAGTCCGGTTAGCATCAGAACATAAATGACTCACACCTGAAGCTCCAGGACTTTTTGCCAAGATGCGACTCTCAGTGTTTGTGTGTGTTAACTGAGACACTGATTCTCAAACAGATAAAATGTAAAACCCATTTCTAGATGGAGAAGTGTAATTGTGTAATTAGTATAAATATTAACATGAATAGATGCGTGAAGAGCTTTTAGGAGTTAGCTAAAGGCTACAGAATTTCTGCTTGAGTGTCGTCATCATCAGAAAAGGTGTTTCCAGCATCAGCAGAGGGACTCGGTGCATTTACATGCACGTGTGTGTTGATCTACAGCTGGGAGCTTTATCCTAGTTTACATGCGTATTAAAAAGGTTCACTTAGTCTTTGTGATAAACTCATATTTTCTGTTTATAATTAAGACAAACTGTGGTTTTCAAAGACGTTTCTCCATACCTGCAGAAAGTTCCTTCTTCCTCTGAGCATCACCAGACTGTTGTGCCATACAACTGGGATAACACAACAAATACGGTGTATTATGAGTAAACACTGAATCAACGTAGCTGTAAAACAGCTTCTGACATACCGTCAGCTATTCGTTCATCCAAAGGGACAACATAGATCCAGTTGAAAACTGCTACATCATTTACGAAACACGTTGCAAATCATGTTAAAATAAATCAAACGCTGGGGAAACAGGAGGGTGAAACACTGAATCATCAACTCAGAGACCAACAGTTTCAAACGATGGATCAGGGAGTCCACTGAGATCTGGAAGCATGTGAGCAGCACCATCAACGGCGATGAGGGGGCACACACCCCATCACACACCTAGGACTCTATCGTCCGGCGATGGCGGAAGGGAGGTGCGGCTGGTCTGGGGGCGTGGTTTGACAGCGCTCCCAGACCAGACAGCTGCTAAATGACACGGCAGAAAGTCGTATGACACTCTGAGGAAGACTGAAGTTTGCAGTGGATACTGTCAGCAGGTATGAAAAACATCTTTAAAGGTTCCATATCATGTTATTTTAAAACTTTGAGCAAAAACGTACGCACAGTATATGATTAAATATTACACTTGGCACTACTGAGATGTCATTATTTTAATCACACTCTCTGTTGGACGCTCCTATAGAGAAACCTTACATAAACAAGCGCGTGTACACACACAGGTGCTCACATGGTGCTCTCATAAGTATGGGCTTGGGCACGTTAAACACAGGTCTTAAGGCTGTGGTGGGCACTAAATGCACTGTGATTTATTAACGTGTGACTGTTCAGTTAAACAATGTTGATTGTATATTTCCTCATCAGGCTGACGCAGTGATAGTTTGCTCCTGATGTATTGTTGTGTGTCCCTTTTCTGCAGGTCTAGAGCAGACTCTTGTTCATCATTGGTTGTTTATTTTTGTGGAAACGTCTCTTCAGCGGATTATGTTAGGTCTGAGTCATGCAAGCGTTGCATTAAATGTATGTTTTTTTGTATTTTACCATTTGTTGTTTTTACAGTGACAGAAAAATCTGAAGGCTGTCCGACATTTTGACAGATTGCAAACCACACCCTAACTCATGCAAGCGTGCATTCAGGGTCCGAAATTAACACTCGCCACTCGCCAAATGCGAGTAAATTGCTCCACCTGGCGAGTAAATGTTTGAGCTCTACCTGCCACCTGGTGAGTAAATGTTTGCACCAAATGAGTTATGTTTATCAGTCATCTTCCATGGATGTCTGATACTCCTCCCGCCTGCATGCAACGTACACAAACGTACGCGAAACGTGAACACCGCACCCAATGTCATTTCCACCTATCCCATTCAATCAGTTTATCGAGTTAGCCGTTAGCTTCGTGTTAAAACTAGCGGTGAAATGTGGCGGTTTTTAATGAGTCAGCCAGCCTTCCAAAAGAAAACTCGTCCAACTGGAAGAAAAACCACCAGGACCAGTGGCAACCAGAAGACTTTGGCGAACTGGAGATGGCGGAGTCGTGAGACAATGGCTACATTATGAACCAGAATCTGCGCTAATGAGCTGCACCGTTTGCCGCCAGCACGCTCGAGCAAAGAACTGTAACAACTCGTTTGTCATAGGAAATAAGACGATGAAGCTCGAGACTGTTCGAGAACATGAAAACAGCAAATGCCATACTGCCTGCACATCCATGTCCCGGGCTCAATCCGAGTCTGGTGACACCCACGGTCTCAGCGCTAATGGCTATGTCAGAGAAAACACGGAGTCTGACTTGATTTCAAATAAAAGAGTTCATAAAAACATCTAAAAAATAAATAAATAGTAAAAATGACAAAAGAGTTGTCTTTCTTATTAAGTGATGTTTTAATTATTTTGTCACTCCTCTGTTTGGAATCAACATCATATAGAATAACACGCTTTAGGCAGATCTAAATCATTTAGGATTTTGGCCGCTAGATTTTCATCATCTACAGCCAACTTGGCCGGTGAGTAAAACATTTAATTTCGGACCCTGCGTGAATTCATGTTAAATGGTAAACACAGAGAACATACAGTCAATCAAGACAACATTCCCATCACAGCATCACCTCACACAGGGACACCATTCCAAAACCATCTCAATATCCGGGAGTGGACTGCAGCACGACTGAGTCGTAGTTTCAGGCTCAAAAAATAAATCTACACTTTTTTGATCCTGTGTGAAAAAATAAATGTATAAATGTAGACTTGAGCTCAAGAATAAAAACTGAAAACACACACACATTTATACACACACACACGTGGGGTGAGATGTCTGAACCAGGAGCCGAAACAAGGCCGTCTGATCACAGTTTAGAGGTGACGTGTCAAACGGATTCAGGAGTAAGCAGAATAAATGAAGATCTACTGAAAAATGTTTTCACCCTGACAAACACAACCATCAGTTATAAACTCAGACCACCTACGGTATTTCTGCACGTGTGTTTAAAAAGTAAAGTTACCTGTTCAGTAAAACCTGCAGGGGTACGGTTTGCTAAATAAACAACAAAGTTAAGCAACGGTCAAAAGTTTCAACCCTTATCAAGGGATCAGACATTTAGCTTTAAGTACAAAACGCCCTCCCATTTGTCCGGCTGGGAGACCCAAACCCTAGCTGCTGTTCATCTGCTGCTCTCTAACTGCCAGCGGCTTTACTTCAGTGTGATTGTGGAGAGAGATGATCATTTGATGTTAACATTGTGCGTGTGTGTGTGTGTGTGTGTGCGTGTGTGTGTGCGCGCGTGCGTGTGTGTGTGTGTGTGTGTGTGTGTGTGTGCGCGTGTGTGTGTGTGTGTGTGTTGTTTGACCCCTGCACTTTTTACCATCCAAACACAATGTTACACTATAATAGACAGACACTGGTTGAGCACTAGGACCAAGCGGAAAACAACCGCTCGTGTTGAAGTTTCCCATTAGAACCGTCCATAAGTTCATCTATTGGCTGTGCTGATACTTGCTAGAGTGTGATTAGCCGTTCCTGCTGTCACTCCACGTTGTAAACTGTTTGCCAGCTGGGGGGGGGGGGGGGGGGGGGGGGGGGTCCATTCAGTTTATTTATAAAGCTCCAAGTCACGGCCAGAGTCGTCTCAAGGACCTTCACACAGTAAACAACACAGGTCAGGTCATTAAGCCAATCAGGAAAACGTTTCCTGTATAAGGAACCCAGCAGGTCGCATCGAGTCACTGACTCGTGTCAGAGTCTTTACAGCAATCCTTCCAGAAAGCCAGTTTTGAACATCGGGGCTTTCCTCATAAATCCCTGCTTTACAAAGCGCTCCCCTCCCCTCCCAGTGTCACCAGCTCCACGAACGATTCTCAGATTGAATCAGTCCCCTCTAATCCAAGCGAGGATCGGTAATCAAGGCTCACGCGCATCCACGGGCAGACCCTGTTAATCGATGCCAGATAAATGATAATGAAAGGAAAGGACAGAGCCTCGTTCTTCACCCAGATGGAGCGATAATATTCATTCATCCCTACAAGGACTACAACCATATCAGAACTATCCATGCTTTCGTTCTTTTCGACAACGTCCTCTGCTGCCCGCAGATAAACGGAGAAGGAAGTGACGCGCCACCGTCAGCGTCAGCCTGAAGAAGCCGGCAGCTGTCGGCGAAACCGTAGCTACAAACAGGTAAACAAAACTGTTTCTGTGTTTAAAAAAGAACGAAAGCATGGATTTACAAAGACACAGCAAGAACACACCTGAGATGTTCATATCAGAACTAAAACAGAGGCTGTGAGCTGTTTGAATAAAGCTGTGTAGCTGGCGCTATGTAGTAAACATTCGCAGAGTTTACGTGTTTCCATGGAAACGTCAGAAGTCCACTTCAGTTTTTGTTTCTCTACTTATTTTATTCAAGTTTTCATCATGTATGTCGTTCTCATGTTCTGCTCCAGAGTCTGGATGTTTAGAGACTTGTGTCTGCTGAGCAGCTGTGAGTTTTATGAATATATGTTCGTGGTGGTCACATGACCCTAAAGTTAACACTGTAAACCGTTTAGCTCTCATATCACTCACTGTGGAAAAAATATCACGTATGTTACTTAAATCAAATGTTATCGTGTTTTCCCCGTGTGACCAGAGTAAATACATAGTCACACCAATAAAGTACTGTACATGTATTATGTTAGCAGCTGTAAGCTAGTTTAAGGCTATTTAATATATTCATAAAGACGATAGCATGTTAATTATATGAGTCCATTCCAGACAATCATATTCACAAAGCATCAGCTAGCCTAGCTGCTAGCCTGCCATGGAGCAGGTTTGTTCTCCAGCATGTGTTACCATGGTGACTGGGAGGGGCTTCAGGCAAGCCACGTTTGGAAAACTATTTAGTGGTGGTACTGTGAAACCTCGCATGCCTGTGGCCCTTGCAGGGTCGCTAACCTGTGATGCTATCTTAGACAAAGGGTCGGACGTTTCCATCATGTCTCGTTCATCGTGGGAACGCCTTAACTTAGCTGCAGGTAACAGGGGTCGTAACTTGACACAAACCCTGCGCCGGGGGCATCAGTCCTTATGCTCGGGCCACTTCGGGGTCTTTTCTTGACCTTTCAGTCAGTCGCATGGTGGTGCGCCATCCCGTTTTCGTGTCTGACTTAGTATTTTTCTTTCCTTTTTGGTATAGACCTGATCAGTTGCTTTGAGCCCATTATTGACCTCTTTGAGTTGAAGCACTGGACCTGGTTGACTCAACCACCGCCCATGAAGCTCCCCCAGGTCCTTATTTCTTCTTGTGGTGTTGTGACAAAGACAGCAACGTCCATGTGGCTAGTGATTATGGTCTTTCACTGGTCAGCCACAGGTCTAGTGTTTGTAGCGTTTGTAGCACCCTGTAGCGTGTTCTCCACCAACCAAAAGGGGGGTCGAAGGCCACCCTGGACCTGCACCATTACAGGCTGGCAAAGTTCTTTCTGACTGCACTTGCACACCAACAGAGAGCCCTCTAGAGTCCATCCCGGCACGGAGACCTACACAGTCCGCTCCTGTGACAGTCTCCGGTCTACGTCGATCAGGATTCCAGGTTTCCACACCGACAAAGTTTCTTGCGTTGGTCGTGTGCATCTTCGTGATATCTGACGCAGCTGAGCCTCTCATTCAGCCTTCCATGCAGCGGCTGTATGACCCTGAAATGGCCTGCGCTCAGAAACTACCAAGTTTCTTCGGGTCTCTTTCTGACACTGGTACCAACTGGACTCTAGCACTCTGAAGCAGACATTAGGGCTGCAACAACGAATCGATAAAATTCGATTGAGAAATGCGTTGGCAATGCTTTTCGTCATCAATTCATTCTGTTGTGCAACTTTTTTCGTGTTGCGCAACCTTTATGTAACGGTCAATGTGCACAGCTCATCTGATGCTGCAGCCCAGCAGACCGAGGCAGATCAGAACCAGAGACACACACAGGTCCTTCTCAAAAAATCAGCATATTGTGATGAAGTTCATTATTGTCTGTAATGTACTGATAAACATTAGACTTTCATATATATGAGATTCATTACACACAACTGAAATAGTTCAAGCCTTTATTGTTTCTAATATTGATGATTGTGGCGTACAGCTCATGAAAACCCAAAACTCCTATCTCAATAAATTAGCATATTTCATCCCACCAATAAGAGAAAAGTGTTTTTAATACAAAAAAGTCAACCTTCAAATAATTATGTTCAGTTATGCACTCAGTACTTGGTCGGGAATCCTTTTGCACAAATGACGGCTTCAGTGTGGCGTGGCATGGAGGCGATCAGCCTGTGGCTCTGCTGAGGTGTTCTGGAGGTCCAGGATGCTTCGATAGCGGCCTTAAGCTCATCCAGAGTGTTGGGTCTGGCGTCTCTCAACTTTCTCTTCACAACATCCCACAGGTTCTCTACGGGGTTCAGGTCATACCATGGTCAGTAAACCATTTAGCAGTGGTGTTGGCACTGTGAGCAGGTGCCAGGTCGTGCTGAAAAATGAAATCTTCATCTCCATAAAGCTTTTCAGCAGATGGAAGCATGAAGTGCTCCAGAATCTCCTGATAGCTAGCTGCATGGACCCTGCCCTTGATAAAACACAGTGGACCAACACCAGCAGCTGACATGGCGCCCCAGACCATCACTGACTGTGGGTACTTGACACTGGACTTCAGGCATGTTGGCATTTCCCTCTGCCCAGTCTTCCTCCAGACTCTGGCACCTTGATTTCTGAATGACATGAAAAACTTGCTTTCATCCAAAAAAGTACTTTGGACCACTGAGCAACAGTCCAGTGCTGCTTCTCTGTAGCCCAGGTCAGGCGCTTCTGTCGCTGTTTCTGGTTCAAAAGTGGCTTGACCTGGGGAATGCGGCACCTGTAGCCCATTTCCTGCACACGCCTGTACACGGTGGCTCTGGATGTTTCTACTCCAGACTCAGTCCACTGCTTCCGCAGGTCCCCCAAGGTCTGGAATCGGTCCTTCTCCACAATCTTCCTCAGGGTCCGGTCACCTCTTCTGGTTGTGCAGCGGTTTCTGCCACACTTGTTCCTTCCCACAGACTTCCACTGAGGTGTCTTGATACAGCACTCTGGGAACAGCCTATTCGTTCAGAAATGTCTTTCTGTGTCTTACCCTCTTGCTTGAGGGTGTCAATGATGGCCTTCTGGACAGCAGTCAGGTCGGCAGTCTTACCCATGATCGTGGTTTTGAGTAATGAACCAGGCTGGGAGTTTTTCAAAGCCTCAGGAATCTTTTGCAGGTGTTTAGAGTTAATTAGCTGATTCAGATGATTAGGTTAATAGCTCGTTTAGAGAACCTTTTCATGATATGCTAATTATTTGAGATAGGAGTTTTGGGTTTTCATGAGCTGTACGCCAAAATCATCAATATTAGAAACAATAAAAGGCTTGAACTACTTCAGTTGTGTGTAATGAATCTAATATATATGAAAGTCTAATGTTTATCAGTACATTACAGACAATAATGAACTTCATCACAATATGCTGATTGTTTGAGAAGGACCTGTATGTGTTATTTTTCATGTTGTGTTTTGTAACCCAATGTTCTTCCTGTGACACTGGTGGGCCAGCGCCCTAGCACCCCCTACGGGCGGGCCACTACTGTTTTTCACATGGAGTTTCTGTATTTGTTGTTTTCATTTTTACATAAATAATCAAAGTGTAAAACAACAAGTGCTTTCTGACAGTGTCTTTGGACCTGGCGAGAGTGAGATAATGACTTATGTTCTCATATGTCGACTAATGACTGGCTCAGGAATGCAGTGAAAGTGTCCTTTACAAGTGAAACATGTTTTAGGCAGAATAAAGAGGTGTACTCACAGTTTTGTCTCCAGCTGCAGCAGAAAGCCCTGCTTATCATACACTGTAAAGCAAAGAAAACAAGAGTGAGTCGCCGGAGCACATGCATGAGAAGTGGGATGACTTTGCTGGGGACACTTATGCAGTCATTATCTGACTCGGTTGTAAACACAAAGGATGACCTCAGAAAGGAAAACTATTCAGCGAATATCAAAGGAAAAGCATCAGGTTTAGGATTTGTGATGGGCAAGCAAGGTTAGGGGAGAGGCAGCCAAAAGGATCTGTTGAGATTAAAACAATGTTAGAAAAGAAGGTAGAGATCACCTATGGACATCCAGTAGGTGTTTGGCTGAGGCAGAAGACAGAGGAGCACAAAAACCAGGAGGAAATTCAACAGAGGTCAGAAGAGTTCAATTTGTGAACCTTCCTCTACAATCTCAGATGTTATGATGTCTGATTGTTCTCAGTACAACAACGCCACTGCATTAGACTGACAGGAATGTGCCAATAGTCTCTAACCAATAAGAAAACATGTAGAGCTACTCCTGTACGTGTGGATCTTGTCTTCATGAGCAAGCTGGAGGACAAAGGTGAAGAAAAGAAATAACAATGGCAATGTGTGACAACAACTCGGAGTAGATAGGACACAATTTAAGCACTGGTTTGGAGAGCGGTCGATGGCAAAAGGAGTCAAGGCTAGAAATTCTAGAGTAAGAAACATCAAGCAGCAATGGAACAAGATAACGTTCTCCATTTGTTAATAATCTGACTGAAGCCAAAGTTTGTGCAGAAATGAAAACGATGGAAAGAAAACAGGATTGTGCCCGACAACCCCTGTTGTATAAATGTTATAGGTCAGCACAGCAGAGGGCAGCGTGGAGCCGCACATGAGGGATGCTGAATTCCTCTGTTTGAATTCACACCTGCTAACAAAGCAAACATACTGAAGCACCCAGCAAGGACTGAATTAAAGGGTTCTCATTATTAAGCAGGAGCTCTGATGCTCTGACCCAGCAACCCTGACCCACCAGTCCTGACCCACCAGTCCTGACCCACCAGTCCTGACCCACCAGCCCTGACCCACCAGCCCTGAATCACCAGCCCTGACCCACCAGTCCTGACCCAGCAACCCTGACCCACCAGTCCTGACCCACCAGTCCTGACCCACCAGTCCTGACCCACCAACCCTGACCCACCATTCCTGACCCACCAACCCTGACCCACCAGTCCTGACCCACCAACCCTGACCCACCAGTCCTGACCCACCAACCCTGACCCACCAGTCCTGACCCACCAACCCTGACCCACCAGTCCTGACCCAAAAACCCTGAACCACCAGCCCTGACCCACCAGTCCTGAATCACCAGCCCTGACCTACCAACCCTGACCCACCAGCCCTGACCCACCAGTCCTGACCCAAAAACCCTGAACCACCAGCCCTGACCCACCAGTCCTGAATCACCAGCCCTGACCCACAAGCCCTGACCCACCAACCCTGACCCACCAACCCTGACCCACCAGTCCTGACCCACCAACCCTGACCCACCAACCCTGACCCACCAGTCCTGACCCACCAGCCCTGACCCACCAGTCCTGACCCAAAAACCCTGAACCACCAGTCCTGACCCACCAACCCTGACCCACCAGTCCTGACCCACCAACCCTGACCCACCAGTCCTGACCCAAAAACCCTGAACCACCAGCCCTGACCCACCAGTCCTGAATCACCAGCCCTGACCTACCAACCCTGACCCACCAGCCCTGACCCACCAACCCTGACCCACCAGTCCTGACCCAAAAACCCTGAACCACCAGCCCTGACCCACCAGTCCTGAATCACCAGCCCTGACCCACAAGCCCTGACCCACCAACCCTGACCCACCAGTCCTGACCCACCAGTCCTGACCCACCAACCCTGACCCACCAACCCTGACCCACCAGTCCTGACCCACCAGCCCTGACCCACCAGCCCTGACCCACCAGCCCTGACCCACCAACCCTGACCCACCAGCCCTGAATCACCAGCCCTGACCCACCAGCCCTGAATCACCAGCCCTGACCCACCAGCCCTGACCCACCAACCCTGACCCACCAGTCCTGACCCACCAGCCCTGACCCACCAGCCCTGACCCACCAGTCCTGACCCACCAACCCTGACCCACCAGCCCTGACCCACCAGTCCTGACCCACCAACCCTGACCCACCATTCCTGACCCACCAACCCTGACCCACCAGTCCTGACCCACCAACCCTGACCCACCAGTCCTGACCCAAAAACCCTGACCCACCAGCCCTGACCCACCAGTCCTGACCCACCAACCCTGACCCACCATTCCTGACCCACCAACCCTGACCCACCAGTCCTGACCCACCAACCCTGACCCACCAACCCTGACCCACCAGTCCTGACCCACCAGCCCTGAATCACCAGCCCTGACCCACCAACCCTGACCCACCAGTCCTGACCCACCAGCCCTGACCCACCAACCCTGACCCACCAGTCCTGACCCACCAGCCCTGAATCACCAGCCCTGACCTACCAACCCTGACCCACCAGCCCTGACCCACCAGTCCTGAATCACCAGCCCTGACCCACCAGCCCTGACCCACCAACCCTGACCCACCAACCCTGACCCACCAACCCTGACCCACCAGTCCTGACCCACCAGCCCTGACCCACCAGTCCTGACCCACCAACCCTGACCCACCAGCCCTGACCCACCAGTCCTGACCCACCAACCCTGACCCACCATTCCTGACCCACCAACCCTGACCCACCAGTCCTGACCCACCAACCCTGACCCACCAGTCCTGACCCAAAAACCCTGACCCACCAGCCCTGACCCACCAGTCCTGACCCACCAACCCTGACCCACCATTCCTGACCCACCAACCCTGACCCACCAGTCCTGACCCACCAACCCTGACCCACCAGTCCTGACCCAAAAACCCTGAACCACCAGCCCTGACCCACCAGTCCTGAATCACCAGCCCTGACCCACCAGCCCTGACCCACCAACCCTGACCCACCAACCCTGACCCACCAGTCCTGACCCACCAGTCCTGACCCACCAGCCCTGACCCACCAGTCCTGACCCACCAACCCTGACCCACCAACCCTGACCCACCAGTCCTGACCCACCAGTCCTGAATCACCAGCCCTGACCCACCAGCCCTGACCCACCAGTCCTGACCCACCAACCCTGACCCACCAACCCTGACCCACCAGTCCTGACCCACCAACCCTGACCCACCAGTCCTGACCCACCAGCCCTGACCCACCAGTCCTGACCCACCAGCCCTGACCCACCAGCCCTGACCCACCAACCCTGACCCACCAGCCCTGAATCACCAGCCCTGACCCACCAGCCCTGACCCACCAACCCTGACCCACCAGTCCTGACCCACCAACCCTGACCCACCAACCCTGACCCACCAGTCCTGACCCACCAGCCCTGACCCACCAACCCTGACCCACCAGTCCTGACCCACCAGCCCTGAATCACCAGCCCTGACCTACCAACCCTGACCCACCAGCCCTGACCCACCAACCCTGACCCACCAGCCCTGAATCACCAGCCCTGACCCACCAGCCCTGAATCACCAGCCCTGACCCACCAGCCCTGACCCACCAGTCCTGACCCACCAGTCCTGACCCACCAGTCCTGACCCACCAGCCCTGACCCACCAACCCTGACCCACCAGTCCTGACCCACCAACCCTGACCCACCAGTCCTGACCCACCAGCCCTGACCCACCAACCCTGACCCACCAGTCCTGACCCACCAGCCCTGAATCACCAGCCCTGACCTACCAACCCTGACCCACCAGCCCTGACCCACCAGTCCTGAATCACCAGCCCTGACCCACCAGCCCTGACCCACCAACCCTGACCCACCAACCCTGACCCACCAGTCCTGACCCACCAGCCCTGACCCACCAGCCCTGACCCACCAGTCCTGACCCACCAGCCCTGACCCACCAACCCTGACCCACCAGCCCTGACCCACCAGTCCTGACCCACCAGCCCTGACCCACCAACCCTGACCCACCAGCCCTGACCCACCAACCCTGACCCACCAGCCCTGACCCACCAACCATGACCCACCAACCCTGACCCACCAGCCCTGAATCACCAGTCCTGACCCACCAGCCCTGAATCACCAGCCCTGACCCACCAGCCCTGACCCACCAGTCCTGACCCACCAGTCCTGACCCACCAGTCCTGACCCACCAGCCCTGACCCACCAACCCTGACCCACCAGTCCTGACCCACCAACCCTGACCCACCAGTCCTGACCCACCAGCCCTGACCCACCAACCCTGACCCACCAACCCTGACCCACCAGCCCTGACCCACCAACCATGACCCAACAACCCTGACCCAACAGCCCTGAATCACCAGCCCTGACCCACCAACCCTGACCCACCAGCCCTGACCCACCAGTCCTGAATCACCAGCCCTGACCCACCAACCATGACCCAACAACCCTGACCCACCAGCCCTGACCCACCAGCCCTGACCCACCAGTCCTGACCCACCAGTCCTGAATCACCAGCCCTGACCCACCAACCATGACCCAACAACCCTGACCCACCAGTCCTGAATCACCAGCCCTGACCCAAAAAACACTCACAGCAGGAACTTAGGCTTTGTTTGAGTCATTAATAACATCCCAAATATGTTCTTTGGCCAGACTAGTCAAATTTAACTAAGTTATAAATAGACAACTGCAACTGCTGCCTCCCATGAGTAGGGTGTATGGCAAACTAGTTTATCACCGTGAACTGAATGCAGTGGGTCCATCTATCTGATGAATGTTAACTTATTTATATAAGCCTTTTAAATACTAACTTCATGTGTCTGATATCTAACCCATCTTGGACATTTGTCTCCATCAGACACAGAAACCCAAACTTTGATGTTCTGTAAGCCAACAAGTGCAAAGAGATTCTAACTTGGCTGCATTTGTAAAAACATTTTAAATGTTAAAAACCTAAAAACTGGCAGGCCAGAGTTGTCTGCAACAATAAACACCAACAGGACACGAGTAGGTCTTGAATGAAAGTGGGCTTTAAAAGGTGAGAAGCTGGGGACAAGCTGAGGGGGCCCGGGCCCAACCTGTCTGCTGAGTCCACCTGTGATAAGGCTGCTGCAGTAGGGACTTTGTATTGTCGGGACTTTGGCTTCAGCCTGCAGGGCTGCAGATGTACCTGAGCTTACTATCCGTCCAACGCTGATGTCGTTGTCCATCTCTGAAACACAAAAGGGTCATTTAGCGCTTTTTGGCTCCGTCTGAAGAGGCAGAAGTGGCTTAAATCAACCAGATGATGATTGTCAGACATTGCAGAACAAAGGAGGACAGAATTAAATTAAATAATTAGTGGCTTCAGTCCCAGGCTGAATTATTGTTCCCGATCTTAATCCCAAACTGAACACTCCGATGAGGTGGAAAAATTAACTGCAAGCAACCAAAGCTGTGTTGATGCGGGGCTTTAATGAAGACATTTTTCATAAAGACGGGACGACTAAGTGAAGTACAGCGTCATGGTGAAAAGCATTAGAGCAGATTTGTGTGCCGAGAGGGGAAAAGGCTCAGTGATGAAGCCACTCCCTCTACCGGAGCTTCTACCTGGAATCCTTTTCACCTCAGCATTTTTAGTCAGGACTACAGCTGCCTCTTCTGCACCTGTCTCTGTAAACACAAGGATGTAGTAAGACCAACAACTCACAACCATTAACAAGCTACTACCAGAGGACAGAGCAGCTGCAGCAGCACACACATTGAGCCAGCACAGACAGCGACATCAACAGAGCCAAACCTGAGGTTCAGGCTTACATCTCTGACTAGCAGAAGCAACGACCCACATCCAACTCCGAACACACAGAAAACACTGAGCCTAGGACCCTAAAACCTCGGCATGGCTGCCTTCACATTTGCATGCATACGGTACCAATTTCCCGGTACCTAGGAATCGATACCGATCCTTAACTGTACCAATTTTCTATGCTTTTGAGTGCAAAATAATACATTTTTCTCTTTTTAATTAAATATATATTAACTATATTTGATAAACATCATGGTAAATAACACGTTTGTATTTTTTCACCGTAGCGTTGTACAAACGTCTTCAAAATGAGAACCTTTAACCACAACTGTTTCTGAACGATACAGAAACTAAAACAAGCTCCATGGACCCCATTCCTCTTCCGTGCCCTCTGGAAGGGCGTCGGGGGGGCACAAAGAAGGGCCCGCGGGCTGGGCCTGGCCGACCATTAGGGTTGTCACGGTAACCGGTATAGCGGTAAACTCCGGTAAAAAAGTTCACAATAAAAATAACCGTCCTGTTTTTAAAAAACTAAATTATCTCGGTGGGTTTACCGTGGCCGCGGTTTCGGCGCGGTGACCCTTACCAGCCACCGTCGCTTCTGCTGAAGTTCCCGCGGCGCGCACACGCACTTTTTAGTTTGCAACGGCACCAAAACTTTGAAGCTGAAATAATGGCCGAAGGAGGAGACGGCAGCGCCCAGGACATCCATCAGCCCTCAAAGAGGACTAAATTGGAAGTATGGGCATATTTTGGATTTCTGAAAAATGCTGAGGGACAGTTAATAGAAGACGGCTATCCCGTCTGCAGAACGTGCAGGAAACAAGTGTCTGCAGAAGGCAGCAACACTTCGAATCTAATGGCACATCTGCGTGACCATCACCCACGTCTCTACAGCCAGTGCAAGGTAAGTCAACATGAGCATTTTAGCTTAAATGCATGACGCGAGGACTTTTGGTTGAGGGAGAATGCAACGAGTCACTATATACTGCAGCCGCAGCGTCCTCTGCCAGCATTTAAACCGTGTCACGGACACCCTGTTGCTGGATGAAGCATCTTATTTGTTGATGATGAAGAGAAATATACAATTAGTTCCTTGTCATGGATTTGTTTACTTATTCAATGCCATTTATACTTGAACATTTGGATTTGATTACATAGTGTAGTAGTTATTTTAGTAATTTGTTTAAAGTGGATATTTATTTTAAATACATATTTTTTAAGGTTGACTTGTACAGCGCTCAAGTCAAGTGTGGACTGGAGTTTTAGATTTTCATTTTGATAATGAAGAAAACAAGTATATGAGAAAACAAGTGGTGTTTCTTTGATTTGTTTACATATTGTTTATGTTTTGAATGTTTGGATTTGTATAATTTAAACCTGCACTGACTACTGTAACATGTTCCAGAAAAAGAAGCTATTTGTTCCTTTACTTGTGAAAAGTTGCACTTTTGCTATGACTTTGTGTTATTTTAGGTTTAATAAACATGTTAAACCTTTTCAGAACTATTTCAGTTTGTGTAGAACAGGACTATCAATGCTTTCTGAACATATGCAACACCGTTTAAAAAATACCGCGATAATACCGAAAACCGTGATAATTTTGGTCACAATAACCGTGAGGTTACATTTTCATACCGTGACAACCCTACCGACCATGTATGATGAACTACTAATCCAACTAAAGCAAACTTCGATCCCACAACAGTTTGTACTTTAATATTGTGAGTTTCACAGAGTAAACCAGCTCCTTGGACTCCTTCTCCTCTCCTTTCTCCTACGGACAAACGGTGTGACGGCGGGTCTTTGTAGTTGTAGAGACTGCAAACTAAACATCTCTGCTGTGAGCTACATTTAAGTAGATTTTTCCTACTCAGAAGTCCAAATCTTTGACTTCCTGAGAGAAAACAAACGCGCCGTTAGCTGTGGAAGCTAAAATATCAAGCTAACGTTATCTTAACCGGTTTATTTACCTGCTGGAGCAGATTAAGATGATGAAACCTCACTTAGATCGTTGCCAATGTTGTAATCACCCATCATCACCCATTGCATTTAGTGAAGTGGACCCAAACTTTAGAGCGCTTCTTTTACCATGCAGCCACTGACGACCTCACGCTCTCGTGCATGCGCTGCTGTCCATCTTGGGAAACCGCGGTCTCTGAAGTTCTCGTTAATGAAGATGGTGGTGATGAGCTACGATGTTGCCACAGCTGCTCTGGGGAAAACTGACAGGGGCGGGGCCTACGACCACCACCAGCAGGCAAGGTGGGTTAAGTGTCTTGCCCAAGGACACAACAGCAGCATTCTCTCTGCACCAGCAAGGGCTTGTTTTTAGTATTTCTGGGAACAGTAATCCTAAACTTGAGTGTGGTTCAAGGATAGCTGGGGGTCATCTTTATTAATTACTCCTATGTAACAGCAGTAGGCAATCCTGCCTGTTTTAGTTGTTTCCCTGCGCGAACACACCTACTAATCATTATCAAGTGTTGGAATAGGGACACAACTAAAACATGCTGGATAGTGGCACTCAAAGTCCAGCATTGCCTACCTCTGCTATACAAGTATTTGTTTGATGACTTTCTCCTTGCAGAATGACACATGATCTTGCAATTCTGTGACTTTGTAATGTTGCAAGACCAGCTGCATGGGACGCCTTCGCAGGCGCGTCTGAAACGCTCCTGGTAGGAAGCAACGCATCACTGAGGTCACAGAGAAACCCATCGATTACGCTACATATCCAGTGGAAAGCCGGGTTAGGAAGAGTTAGCATAAACAGCATTAATGCTAACTGTATAAATACAGATCGGGCCCTTTTGTAAGAGTTCAAGAAATACCCTGCCCCCCAAAGAGGGGCCTGAAAGATCCAGTCCTCAGTTAGAAAACCCCAGCTGCTGCAGCTGGAACTGGATTGGTGGGTTGCTGCACCTCTGAGGACAGAGAAGCTGATCCCTGATGTTGAAAACAGCTCGGCCCAAGAATATTTATGAGACCTGTTGAGCTCAATGCTAATGAGAACTGGAGCAAAGTCCTACGAAAGGTGTACATTGGGGCTATAACACACACACGCACGCACGCACGCACGCACACACACACACACACACACACACACACACACACACACACACACACACACACATTTCAATACATGAGCTACTGCAGATGTGCTCGTAAAACTGCAGACTCTCTTGAAATTGGATCCTATTTCTAATAATCAGGGTCAAAGGTTACGTCCTGACTGTTGCTGCAATGCAAAGCGAATCTGGCCTCCTCTTGTTTTGTCGTGTTATTCGGTGCATCAAATCATAACTTCATACTTTATTTGGAAAGTGGGGGATAGGTAAAAGTCAGCTTGTTTAAAAACTCTTTCCAGCGTCAGAATTCAGATGTTTTAAAGAGCAAGTTCACAGAGAAACCGGTTCTTACCAGTTATTTTATAAATGGGATTGGTCACTAACCTTAACATGCAGACTAAGTCTTTGAGCCCCATTTCATGCATTAGCCGCCAACCCACCTCTCCAGGGAAACTCCTGGGTCAGAAAACGCCCGTGAGGTCCATGCCACACCGAACAATTACCATTCATGGACACTAGGGATGCACGTTAACGGTTAATAGCCGGTTATCCGGAAACCAACAAACCCCCAAACACACACAAACATCTGTCCCCGCCCTATAGATAACGCTTTTCCATCTACTCTCTTTAATACCCTTCTGATGCACAACTAAAGTCCCGCACTCGTTACCACACCATACCACCTTTATTTATATAGCACTTTAAGCATAGATACTGATGCAATTTACTGTTGAAGTTCATTAATATGCACTGTCCCTATGAAATAGACAGAAAGAAAGAAAGAAAGAAAGACAGAAAGACAAAAAGAAAGACAGAAAGACAAAAAGACAAAAAGAAAGAAAGACAGAAAGACAAAAAGAAAGAAAGAAAGACAAAAAGAAAGAAAGAAAGACAGACAGACAGACAGACAGACAGACAGAAAGACAGAAAAACAGAAAGACAGAAAGAAAGAAAGACAGAAAGACAGAAAGAAAGAAAGAAATAAGGAAGGAAAGAAAGACAGAAATACGGAAAGAAAGAAAGACAGAAATAAGGAAAGAAAGAAAGACAGAAAGAAAAGACAGAAAGAAAGAAAGAAAGAAAAGACAGAAAGAAAGAAAGACAGAAAGACAGACAGAAAGAAAGAAAGAAAGAAAGAAAGACAGACAGAAAGAAAGACAGAAATAAGGAAAGAAAGAAAGACAGAAAGAAAAGACAGAAAGAAAGACAGAAAGGAAGAAAGACAGAAAGAAAGAAAGACAGAAAGAAAGAAAGACAGAAAGAAAGAAAGAAAGAAAGAAAGAAAGAAAGAAAGACAGAAAGACAAAAAGAAAGACAGAAAGACAAAAAGAAAGAAAGAAAGACAGAAAGACAAAAAGAAAGAAAGAAAGAAAGAAAGAAAGAAAGATGGACAGACAGACAGAAAGAAAGACAGAAATAAGGAAAGAAAGAAAGACAGAAATAAGGAAAGAAAGAAAGACAGAAATAAGGAAAGAAAGAAAGACAGAAAGAAAGAAAGACAGAAAGAAAGACAGACAGACAGACAGACAGACAGACAGAAAGAAAGACAGAAAAAAGAAAGACAGACAGAAAGAAAGAAAGACAGAAAGACAAAAAGAAAGAAAGAAAGAAAGAAAGATGGACAGACAGACAGAAAGAAAGACAGAAATAAGGAAAGAAAGAAAGACAGAAATAAGGAAAGAAAGAAAGACAGAAAGAAAGAAAGAAAGACAGAAAGAAAGACAGACAGACAGACAGACAGACAGAAAGAAAGAAAGAAAGACAGAAAAAAGAAAGACAGACAGAAAGAAAGAAAG